TACTCTACCTTTGTTAACTGCAGAGCTCCAAAGACCCGAGAGTCTGATGAGAAGACAGAAACTACACTAGTAATTTGAACAGGAAAGAGTAAGATGGCTATGTCTAGGTAAGAGGAGGTGGAACAATATGCTGATTGGATGTTATGGTTCATATTAACAGGGCTAATTGTGTTTGCAAAAACTTATGTATCTAAAGAGGGGACTGGTCAATTTTACCATCCTGTTAGATTATAAATGAGCCATTTCCCAAGCAGGAAGAGACCTCTCACTACCAAGTTAACGCCCATGAGTAAGACGCACCCTTTGGACCCTGAGATCACTACACATTGAACCCTGAATCAAGGACAGAAAGCTGTGACCCCAGAGCAATGGTAGAGGGGCATTAACTGCAGAACCAAGAGTCAGCGCACTAGAGCAATGGGCAAAGCTGCGTAACTGTGGGTAGATTTACTTGTGGAGTTGGGTTTTTAGGCACTTAATCGAGGAGCTAGGTTTGCTGATTTAGGGGGTTAGAACTGAGTGCCCTTTGGGTATTTATCAGCAGTCCCCAAACAGCTTTGTAACATTGCTGGGGCAGGGCAGAGGCCAAGGGCCAGAGAGGTGAGCTGTCTTGACGGAATAATTGTGTGCCCTGGGCATTTCAAATCCTGAATTGTAACCAGTTAATCCCCCTAGTAAATGGGAGTATGGTGTCTGAATTATGTGGCCATTGCAATAATTATCGAACACAGCTGAGTAGAGCATTCTGTGGGAGGGAAGGTTGGAGTCACAATTGGTAGACAAAGTTTCAGGGTGGAGGAATGTTAATTGACCTTTGTATGCTTTTGTTTCTCATACCTCCTAGGGAGGCAACACACTATTGTTCACATTTAGGGAACATCCTGGCACAGAGCATCAGAATTCCAGTGGGTACTGAGGGTATCAATGGTATAGGGGACAGCATAAGGTGATTTCACTAGTGTTTCTCAGCAGGAGGGCTGCTCATATGTGGTACTGTAACCAGTCAGGTCAGTCCTCAAGCAAGCTCACAACAATAAATATTAAAGGAATTTTCCAAGTTACTTGTTTAAGTGCAGCTTGACATTGGCCATGGTGGAAGTATTCAATCCAGCATTTGGCAAATTCAGCCGTTTGAATGCCCGTTTCCTCACCCAGAGCTGGTTTAGTAGACCACCACTGATCAGAGCCCAAACAGTGGAAGAGGCATCGGCATGGGAGGAGTGGCTCTGGAGAGGAAGATTACCTACAGGGCAATTAATGTACTAAGTAAATATAACAGAAGCAAGTTTTGTTAGAGAAAGAAGTTACAAATATATGGAGAGATAATGATGAATCATCCTGGGGTGTTAAACTAGAGTTGCAATGTAACTCCTGGTTTCCAATACGTAAAAAATGCAGTTGCCATTTTTTATATATATTGGAAACCATTAAGTATCCCAACTCATGAAGACTCAATGGGTGTAGAGCAGAACTATACTACAGAGGGTGTTCAATGCTGTAACTTTTGGAACTAGATCATCAGGCCTTTCTTCTGAGGTGTCTCTGGGTAGATTTGAACTGCCAACATTCTGGTTAGTATCTGATCACTCAATTGTTTGCATCACTCAGGAACCTGTTTTCAAAGTTCGTGGTTGTAAGTGCCCTTGAGTTAGTTCTGTCTTATAGCGAGTTTGTATAGGGTTTCCAAGGCTGTAAATCTTTGTTGTTGTTGTTGTT